GACAGGTACCAAGACTTCCTACAATATACAGCGTCCCGAAGATACACAAAGAAAGAGTGCCGCTAAGACCAATAGTAAGTGCAATCAATAGTCCCACGTACAATTTAGAAGGGTATTTGTCAAGTAAGCTGCAGAACGAGATTGGGAAAACAGACACGTTTGTTAAGGATTCGGCGAGTTTTGTGAATAAGCTGAGAACAATGCGATGGTTTGAGGGAGAAATGTTGGTGAGTTTCGACGTAGTCTCGCTATTCACAATGGTGCCAGTGTCAAAAACGTTGGACATTATTAAATCAAAAGGTCGGTCAGAGGACAACCTTATCGACCTACTTGCCCAGTGTACAAAATCAACAATATTTACCTACAAATCGCAAGCGTATGAACAGACGGATGGCATGGCGATAGGATCAAGGTTGGCACCAGTCTTTGCAACATCGTTTGGAGTGGTTTGAATAAGAAGCTGTCTCAACATCAAAACACAAACCAAAGAAATAGTTAAGATACGTGGATGACACGTTTGTCATTTGGCAGCATGGAGAGAAAAAGCTTGAAAATTTCTTACAACACTTGAACAATATCCAGGCGAACATAAAAATTACGATGGAGAAAGAAGAAAATGGCAAGCTGGCGTTCCTAGACGTATGTGTTGAACGACGGGTGGATGGCACTTTAGGCACAGCAGTTTACAGAAAAAATACACATACAGACCGATACTTAAATTCTGAATCACATCATTGCCCCAAACAGAAAGGGGAATTTTCCACACGTTGGCCACACGATCTGTTCGCATGCAGAAGAAGAAAAACAGCACCTCAGACAAACGTTATGCAGCAACGGTTATACCATTAGTGCAGTGAACAAGGCCCTGCGAAACGCAGAACGTAAAAATAAACAACAAGGCGCAACAAGGACTATTCAGGAAGAAGAAGATATCAATGGCACAGTGGTAATTCCGTTTATAAGTGGATTGACCGAACGCATAGCACGAGTAGCAAGGAAATACAGTATAAGGACGGTTTTCTCAACAGTGAAGAAATTGGAGGAATTTTTCCGGAGTCCAAAAGACTGAAACTCAACACTGAGTCCACTCAGACCTGCTCACATCGTCAAATAAACGACGAAGTAGTGCAAGAGAACCGAAAAGATGTGGTTACACCAGAATTAAACTGGTCAAATATTTCCACCTTCTTTTAAATTAATACAATTTAACGTCATGTATCTAATGTGTCTATATGTAAAATAAAAATAAAAAGTTTAGACTATGATAACCTTAATTTATTAATTTTGTTATTGTATAGAAATCGAAGACACTGAAAGTATGTACACGTTTTGATGATAAATAATTATCATATCTTATATGAACCCAAAGTGGTTTGTTTGATTTAATTGTACATTAAATTTATTATATTGGTCACTTTGGATTATTTAAACTTAATTTTTTTTTAGCAATCCCACCAGCACCCATCGGTATGTTTACGTTTACAAAATAATAAATAACAGTTTACATAATATTTGTATTCATTTAATAGTAATAATTTTACTTAATTTTTAATTGTATGTACAATAATAATTTAATTTGGACTAAAATTCTTTACGTTTATACGTAAACGTAGATAAGTAAACAATAATTAATCATTTTTTAGAATATAATATAATTATACGTTACTGTATCCTTAATTTAATTAATTGAATATTATTTTCTAGAAATTACATCTTCCGGTATGTATTCGTTTACGTAGTTAAATAAATAATAATTTACGTTACTGTGTCTAATATTGCACGACGTTATGAAAACAGTGGTATTTATACATTTGCGTAGATAAATAGAAAATATAATTTAGGCGAATTTTGCATTTTTTTTTTCAATATATTATACGTTACTGTGTCAGATATTTAATTCAATACATATTTTGATTAACTTTTTAAATAATTTGCTAAACATTTTGACTGGTAATCTAAGACGCACTTTATAAATGATTAAAACGTTCTTAGTGTTTAAAAGAAAACATAATTCATTCTTACATATTTAAGACCATTACTTTTTTTTTTTTTAGACTGTAATAACTTAACGTCTATACGTTTACAAAATAATAAATAATAATTTACATAATATTTTTATACTTTTAATAGTAATCATTTTATTTCTATTTTTAATTTAATGTACAACACTAACTTGTTGTTTTATTAAAATTACATTTACGTATATAAATATACGTTAATGTATCCTAAAAATAATTAATTGAATATTATTTTCTAGTATCGGAAACTGGCGGTAAGTATACATTTACGTAGATAAGTAAATGATAATAGTTTATGTTACTTATAGTCTGATAATATTCGTTAAATGTTGTAAATTTATTGATTTCTAGAATGCAGTGCCGGTATGTATACGTTTACGTAGATAATATAACAATTTAGGCGAATTCTGCATTTTTTTTTCAATACATTATACGTTACTGTGTCCAAAATTTAATTCAATGATTATTATAAATGTATTATTTTCTAGGAGCAGCACAACAACGTCGTAATCCCGGTATGCATACTTTTAAGTATACATATTTTATTTGCATTTTTACAATACATAATATTTTCAATACCCAAGTTTTATAAAAACCATACAAGTAGAGAACTTTAAGAAAGTTGTTTTTTTTTTGTCCTTCTCGTTCTTAGCTTAAACTAGTTAACCGTATTTAATGAAATTGACATTAAAACCATTCCAGATTTATTTAACTATTTAGGTTAATTTTGAATTTTTACAATATATAATTATACGTGACTGTGTCCAAAATGTAATTCAATGATTTTTATTTTCTAGAAGTAGCACAACAAGATCTTAACGGTATTTATACGTTTACGTAGACAAGTAAATAGTAGTTATTGTGAAGTAACCATTTTTTTAAGTATATAATAATGCTTTACAAAAACCATGCAAGTACAAAACTTGTCGAAAGTGTTGTTTTGTTTATTAGGTTTTATTTTCTGCTAAAACTACTGCAGTAGACACTAAATTCATTCCAGATTTATTTTTAGTTTAATTAGTTCTCACGAGCTTAAATAGTCTATTAATTAATACATCATTTAAGATTTTTATTAATGTTCGGTAATTTTGATTTAATATGCATTAAGTAAGACAAAAATGTAAACTTACATTCTTATTATAAAAATGTTTTATTTTTCAGAAGGGTATGGTTGTAACGGTAATAAAAATTATTTTAAATTATCTTTTTTAATTTACGTTACTATAAAATAGGTATATCAATGTATAATAACTAAATAAAAACTTAGTAAATTGAAAGGTTTGATTATTTCTATTTGAACAGAATACCAAGTTATATATATATATAAAAAAAAAATATATATATATATATGTATATATGTGCGTGTGTGTGTGTGTTTTTCACTGGGAGTATACTAAAATGATTTTATTTATATCAAATTAAATATTTTATTTTTAAAAAATATTAAAATATCATGATATTTAGAAGTTCAAATTTATAAATAATTATGATAAAAGCATTTTTTATTAAACTACATAAAATGTCTGAGTATTGCCATTGAAGTTAGTTAGGAGAACGCACATTAATTTGTTTTTAATATTTCTTTTTCAGTATTCAAATCTGTAATAGGTAATACAAATTGTTTTTAATATTTTTTTTTTTTATTTTATAATAATATTATAATAATCAATCTAATATATATAGTTTAAAATATTTTTTTAGTATTACAGTATTACCAAAATTTTGTTTTCAGAAATCTTTGATGAGAATTGGAAGTAATATAAATTATTTTTAAAAATGTTATTTGTATTTAATAATATTGTAAATTTGTCATTAGTGTGATGAGAAGACCGTAATCGTGAGTATATTTAAATTAACTTTTATAAAATGAAATAATGTATCTCAAAAAACAAATTATCATTCTCGTTTTATTTAAAATGATAAATTAAGGATTGAAAAAATGATAATTTAAAGATTAACATTAATTAATCATTATTGTAATAGCAATTTTTATTTAACTACATAAAATGTTTAACCATTTTCATTGAAGTTATTTAAGGAATTCCCATTTTTCATTTAAACATATTTTTATTGTCTGTTAAAAGAAAACATTTGTTTTAATTTTAGTACTTAGTAGTGAGTATACTATGATGATTGTACTTTTATAAAATTTAATCATTAATTACTAAAAAAAAAAATAAAAAAGTAACTAAAAGCATTGCAACTATAATGATACGATATTTTTTTGTAGGTTGCGCCATAATGTGAAAGAGGACAGATGTGAGTAACTAGCATAATTCTTGTATAAATAACATTTTTTTGTGTTATAAAGCCAAATGTTTTAATTACAGAATGCTGATCCTTAATTTATTATCACTCATTTTATTCATACTTTACATACTGATATTGATTGTTTAGAGTTATAATTAACTTTTATTATAAAAAATGTATTATCCATGATTTTTTTTAAATCAAGTTTTAACGTTTTTCGATGTAATAAATTTCAAGTAATTTAGTTTCGGTAATTTTTAATAATTTCCTTTATAATAATATTTAATTGACGACATAACATAATGTATTTATGAATTTTATTATATTACATATATTCATTTAATTATGCTTTGATTTTTTGATTCCTATTAAAGTAAGTCGGCCAAAAATCACACATAACTTCCTGACTAAAACAAATGCCGAATAAATAAAATCTGTTTCTTCAGGAAAAATCCTGATGGGAATAACTCAATCAGAAAAAAAGTATTATATACTTAATGCTTCTTTTTTAATACTTATATGTTGTACTATATCGACTAATACAATTACTTAAATGTTAAGTTTTAAAAAAAAAGCGTGCTTTGATAGTTGAACTTGTATTAACTAATTACATATTATGTACTGCGATTTGATGACTATCAATCGCAATAGTTTATAATTTATGAAATTGAAAATAATATAATAATAGTATTACAAACCCTAATGTATAAATACATTGTCAGAATTTCACTTTTGCTCTAAGAGTTAAGTGACAAATTAGATATAATATTATGTTTTATGCCAGAATTAATAATGATACTTAGGTATTTTTTTTTGTTATTGTATTTTTTATGCTAGATATTTATCTTTGTATTTCTACAAAAAGTAAAATCTATTATGTAAAACATTAAGCACAAATAAAATATACGATCAACAATATCGATCATACGTTTCAGTCAGAACCTACGCACAAACGGCTTCATTTTTCAACTACAGACAAAGATGGTTTAGAAACTGGGTTTGCTACAAGCATGAGCGTTTCCTCAAAGTGTTTGTCTTTCTGTTTCTTTCGCACTTGATCCTTGATCACTTGGTCTTTTCAATTGTGGAAATGCTTCATACTTTTCACTTGTCTGTCGTAGTTGACGAGAAGGAAGTATTGACCACGAAATCTTCAAATTGTGTTTGACGTAAACGCTGTCGATACTGACACATCCGCTGCACAGCCAATTTGGCTGATGTAATATTTGAATTGATAATACCCAAACTAAAAACATAATATCCATTTTAAAAAGTTATCTATTTTGCGTTTTATTAAACATTACCTAACTTCACATTGACATTCTCGATATTCTTGTAACCGCTGCACACCTAATTTGGTCGACGAAAACTTTGGATTGATCGGCAGGCTAAAAATATATCCATGTTGTATTAATATATAATCTCGCTTTTATTCATAGATTAAAAAGTGGTTACCAAGGTAAAATTTACAGTATTTGTTATAACTATAACAAATGCTGTTATTGACTATTATTTTATTATTATTATTAATATGATATTTTGAAAGCCTAACTCAGTTTGAACTTGTAAATTAAAGAAAAAAATAATTAAAAACGTTTTAAAGTTATACCTTTTAAACTATATGCTTTAAAGAAGAAGAATGGAAGTAATAGTAAATTTGTATTAAACATTTAGGCCAGTTTTTTTTTTCAACAGTATTAGTGTCGACTGCTTTTAGATAAATGCAACCGTTATTGCTTAGTACTTAAGTATTGTTGAGGATTCTAAAAACAAACAACAAGAAAAGATATTACTAATAATTCTCAATTATATTATTACTACAAATAATCATACATTTGAAGGTGTGCCATTATTTATAGTTAATCCTTCTGTTGTGGTGTATACGATTCTCGGCATGGCCAAATACTAGATGCCCAGGTCAATAACTAAATATTTCGAAAAGCTGCTTCCATTGCCTCTAGTGTTGGCTTTTAAAAGCTTCGGGCTCTAGTTACTGGGTAGAAAATGTGTTGCCCAGTTTTACTGTGCAAAACACCTACTTGCCCAGTAATAAACGGTGGTCCAACCAAGACCGACACACCCATATCTCCTGTGAAATATTTAAAAAAACAAACCAAATTAATTTTAATAGGATTTCAAATTTTATACACATCATTTTTATAAATTAGATGTAATTTGTAAGACACACATTTAATATGTTTTAGGATATAATATGTTTAATATGTAAGTTTACAATATCATAAATATACTAAACATTTACAATTTTTAGTTTTTTCAGAACTTTAAAGTTTAATTTTAAGAGCTCTGAAGAATACTAAAAAAGAATTAAATATTTAGTAGCTTAATGTTATTGTAAAATTACACTTATAACTTTTCAAAAGAAAATCAATAATATTACCAAAAAAAAAAAAAATTATATATTTTAACAAATAACTTACTTAAACTCCACGGCTATTCCTCAACTCATCCAGAAGTCAGCTGCTACACAATGAGTTCAACAACAAGTCCTCTTGCGACTCGAATATTCTTGCCATTGTATCAATAAAACTATATAACACAAATTATGTATTGTTATTATTCTGCAATATATTTTTCTTAAGGAATCTTTTATTAGATTTACGTAGGAACAAAAATGAATTAAAATTTTTGTTATTTAAAATTAAATTTTTTTAACTTATATAATCAAATATATCACATTGGATGTTATCAATAATTATGATGTTACATTAAGAACAATTGTTTTTTTTTTTTAACTTTTGGTGTTTTAGAAAAGTGATGTACAGCTTTAAAATAACTGTACGAGTATGTTTCAGATTTGATACTGAAAATTGTTTTTTTTTAACTTAAGCAAACCAAGCCATGATCAAGTTAGGTTATGAATATCCGGACCAACTCGTTCCTGTTTAAAAATTTTAGACCAGACTATACCGAAATAACAATATTGTTTCTTAACAAAATTAATTAAAAATATTTTATTTAAAAAAATATATTTTACTTATATGCATCCCCATTGAATGGCTTTTGAGAATTGTGGATCGACTGATAGCTGTTGTTTGATTCATCTAAGTAATTCGGTTTTGTATTTTTCACTAAGGCATTGGTGTATTGCTCTTTTGTGTCTTTATTTTCTTCATCTATTTTAGTTACGGTCCCGTAGTTATAATTTTCCATTTCAATTCTGATGTTTAGCTAGTTTCTCACTACTTAAACTCTAAAATCAAAGAATATTTTATAAAATTAGGACAAGAACTTGAGTTTAATATTTTAAAAAATAATTATAGCTTCAGTTTAAACACATAAATAAAACATGAGTGCAGGCTGAATTTTTGACCTAGGAGACCCAACAAAGGTCCGAGACGTTTTATCAGAAAATCATGTTTAATCAATTCTATGTTCATCCAGTAATAGCGGACCACAACTACAATTTTAGAAGGTTCAAATGCTATAGCCAGTAAAAAAATTATGCATACTCTTTTCAAAATTATGTACTAGTTTACCTAACACAAATAAATAGTACAAACATAGCCTTAATAATTTCCTTTATAATAAAAATATCATATTCCATGTAAAATAATTAATTAAAATTAAAAAATGTCTGCTAAAAACATAGATTATACTTGTTTTTAGAGAGAAAGTATAAATAAAAACACACAAATAACGACTACTTAGTAATAGTAACAATTTTACATTAATAAATAAGAAAATATTTGGATCTCAATAAATTAAAATAAATTAAAAAAATCACTGGACTTTTGCTATTAGATCAATTGGCCTTATATTCTCCAATGCAATTAATAAAAACCGAGGCATTTAATGGATTGGTGGAAAAAAAACATGACAATAGTTCAAAATGAATTCATTGATTCAGAATTTTTTAAACTAAAAATGTTTCAAAGAAAAATTATAAACCAATCTATCCATAATATACTATTTGTAGCCATAATCATTTTCTCGATTGAACAATGATTACATTGGCTTTTGATATCTCTGTGATTATCATTATATTACTCTTCGTAATATACGAATCTAAAAAATTGGCAAATTGTTAAAGCTAAAAGAACGTAAAAAATAATGTGATTAGTACAGCAATAATATATTATTAAAACTATACATAAGTAGAAGTAACAGAAAAATGTAAATTAAAGTTCTACAGCTTTTCGCTACCTAATTAAATTACAATGGTCTTTAAAATGATAAAAAAAACTGTGCAGGAAGTGCGATCACCCATTTTTGAATGTAAATTATGATCTCAAGATACACATTAAACAAACTTTTTTACGGATGGTTAGTAAGAAATTACAAATTTTTAAAAAATCACAAGGTAGGCTCGCATTTTAATAAATATGAGTATGAATCCCCAATCTGTTGGCCACACGAGCTATCAAATCCAAGTATTTGAATTACCAATGAACGTTTATCACAATGGTTTCAATCGGTTCAGTAGTTTAGGTGCAATCGAGCAAAACACGGGAATAAACTTATGACACAATAAAAAATTAATTTTTCAAAAACCAATTTATAGAAAAAAATTTTTAATGTTTACAAAAGAAAAGTATCGTGGCATATGCTACACTGGATGGCTATAAACTAGCATATTCATCACTATGGCCGTTGATAGGTAACAATTTTAATTGTTTTAAAAATCCTCATTGAACCCGTAAAATGTAGTTTATTATTAAAATAAATAAAACTTAAATTGTAATTAATGATAATGTTAATATCGGTACTTACGTTTACACAGCTACTTCGAGACCCTCAGATTTAAAGACCACACGGCACAGCGCTGATCTGGAATGTTTTTGGATAATATTATGTATAACCGCAACGAATAATAATTTTTAAAGAAACTACAGTGTCACTGCCTTATAAAAAACATATACTGCGTGAATCGTGACGAATGAAACAGAGTGCTCTAACACAGAAAAGTTCTATTTTGTACCAACTCGAGTGTAAGGTAAATGATTCTTTAACGCTATAACGAGTGTGGGGTCAGTTCATTTATTAATTCACAGCTACCTATATGAAAATTTTTTTATGATATAAACTGTGCAGTCGGCACTCTGCAGTATGCAATTGCTAAAGATTATTAGATAATATTTTTCTGTAGTCTGTGCTTCTAAAAATTGATAAGAGATGTAAGCATGTGATAACAGCGGCGACCGCGGCCCGAGATGGTTGGCTGGAGGTAGAACGCGGTAAAGTAAATATCCTATCGATATTAACCTTTGCAATTCAATCCCTATAGTCTCTACTTTCAGTCAATATCTTTAAGTGATAATGGTACACAGCTCGGTCTACCACAGTGTTGTATAAAATCGTCAACAAACTCCAGAAACACATTATAAACCTTGGATGATAAATAATTGTCATACTGCCACAGAACACAACAATCTTATAACGATTTTACAAGTGTCAAACTGCCCTCGGCAAACGTCAAACGGATGAAAATTGGAATTTCGAGTCAGTGATGGGTACGACGGTTTGACCAAACTACAGCCGTTCGATAGCAACACTTGTCGAAAATTGGTCAACTTCCAAAAGGTGAGAGGAATGTTCAATAAATACCTACATATTTTTTATTATTTTCAATTATCATAATTTCACGTCACTACATTCCAGACAGAAGTTCTAGTCGTAATATCCTTGAATAATTAAATAAAAACTACCTAGTTTTAGCTAAATGTAATTGTAATAGTAATTATACTGTGGGTAAACTTAGAAATTCACTAATTTAACTAATGTATCATAAAAAAAATTTTGCTGTTTTTTATTCATAGAGATAACGAATTTGTCGAAATGGAAGATTATTGCCTTGAATCGTTGATACAAGTTGAAGGAACGACGCCTATGCAAGTAACAAACAACTCGGCAGATGAAAAATGCGATTTGTGTTTAGAATCGTTTACATCCAAAAATCAATTGAAACATCATATTACAACATCGCACAACGTTATTTCTAATATCGATGAAATTACAATTAAACAAGAAGAAGAAGATAATGTTTTCGAGTAAGTCGATTTTAAATTTCAAAATACCTAAATAGTCTTTTCCTAACTGTTCATATTCATGTTTGGACTTTTACTAATACTTTATCTAATCTGTGATGGAGCCATAAGGTGGAGAGCACTGTACAGCGTTTTTAATTCTCACACACTGCCTGCATTCATCACTAACTTCACAGGCGAACATACTTGAAATTCATTTTTAGTATTTGGCTTTAAAATTTAACATCTATATAAAATTTTTCATAACGTGACCATTATAATTAATATATAAATATTGAATAAATACAAGATTTTACTTGATCATTTTTTGCCTAAACTTAAAATATTTTTATGTAAAATATAACTAATTTTTATCTTATAATCGATTTTAAATCTCAAAATACCAAAATTGCCTTTCCTAATAAATCAATTAAATTGCAATTAACATATAATAAGATTGAGCTATTATAGAGAAATATAACATAAATTATGACTGTTCGTTAACCATGTTTGAATTTTTACTTCTCGCATTATTAGCATTTTAAGATGGAACCACAGATTAGATAAAACTTTATCTAATCTGTGATGAAGCCATGAGGTGGAGAGCACTGTGCAGCTTATTTAATTCTCACTCACTCGCCCACATTTTACACTTTTGTCTTCATCACTAACTTCACATGCGAACATACTTAAATTTTATACATAGTGATTAACTTTTAAAATTTTGCATTTATATAACATTTTATCATAATCTTTAAACTCTATAAATATAATAATATATAAAACAAGGTTTCATTTGAAAATTGTATCCCTTCAATAAAAATAATATTATGTAAAATATAATCAATTTTCATATAATATTAAAAAAAACTGAAATATTTGATGTTTTTTACTCGTAGATATAACAATATGATCAACGGGATTAATGTTAAACACGAATGTTCAATTACAACAGATGTCAAAAACGAATTCAAGTAAGGCTCTTTTTAGTATTAAAACATATTCTGTAAACAAGTGTATTACATATTTAGTATGTAACGACTATGTAAATATATGTTTTTTAAACTATACGCTTTGCCAACTAAACCCTTTATTTTAGTGTTTTATTTTATTTTATTCGGTATTGTTACAAGTCTCTTTTTTTCTGTATATGTTTCATTGTTCAAAATCAATATTTCTTGAGTTATCCATGGGTAAATAGATGCTAAACGTTTGGTTCAGTTCACATTGGAGGCTTTTATTATGTTTTCTTTCACAGAATTAAATTCTAGACATTATTTATCTTATGTAGTAAACATTTGAACAAAACTTGTTGATGTATATATATCAGTTTTCATTTAACATTTTCTCATAATCTGAACTCTATACATATAATAATAAATAAAACAAGATTTCATTTGAAAATTTGTATGCCTACACCAAAAATTATATTATGTAAAATATAATCAATTTTTATATATTATTTAAAAAAACTAGGTATAACATTTGTTATTTTTTACTTGTAGAGATAACCATACGATCGACGGCATTAATGTTCAACCTGAATTTGATGAAATGCAAGATTATTGCTTTGGATCGTTGATACAACATGAAGAAACGATACCTATGGACATGAAAGTAACAAACAACTTGCCTGACGAAAAATGCGATTTGTGTTTAGAATCATTTACATCCGAAAATCAATTGAAACATCATATTACAACATCGCACAATTGTATTCCTGTGATTGATGAATGTTCAATTACAACAGATGTCGAAAACAAATACGAGTAAGGAACTTTTTAATATGAAAATATATTTTGCAAAAGGGTGTGTATTACATATCGCCGCCCCAGTAGAACAATGACACAACGACAACATTTGGTTAAATGGGCTAAATGCTTCAATATGTTTAGATACAGCGACCGTATTAGGTAGAAAAACGACGTAACTGTAGTTGTAATAATTAATTGTGCATTCATGAATTATAAACATTTTAGTGAAAAATAATTTGGTTTTTTGGTTCTCTTGTTAAATTTCAATTATTGCAGTTGTTTCATTGTTTTACCGGGGCGGCGATATATAGTAACGACTCTGTAAATATATGTTTTTTTAAACTATAGGCTTTGCCAACTAAACCCTATATTTTGGTGTTTTAATATTTTATTTTTTTCGGTATTGTTACAAGTCTCTTTTTGTCTGTATATGTTTCTTTGTTCAAAATCTTGAGTTATCCATGGGTAAATAGGTGCTAAGCGTTTGATTCAGTTTAGATTGGCGGCATTTATTATGTCTTCTTTGACAGAATTAAATTCTAGCTGTCCATTTATTTTTCTTATCTAGTAAACATTTGAACAGAACTTGTTGATGTATATATTTCAGTTTTATAAAATAATTAGAAAAAATACACTTTTGAGTAGTAGTGTATAAGAGAGTAGACCAAATCTGAGTAGGGATAGGGGGTAGTAGATAAGGGTGAGATTTAGCCGGTAAATAACCGAAAAAATGTGTTACCAAAAAAGCGTTACGCTGTTACGCGCCGCAATGTAACAAAAACTACGAAGCGACGACGAAAGACAATTATCGGAATGACCATTTCGGATCTATTTTGAATGTTAATCTGTTACGCTGTTATCTGATTTGAGATAAGAGATATGTTGTACGTTCAACGTTCAAATTAGAACTAAATAATAAATTCAAAACAGTTTAAGAGCCCAATTTCTCTATGAATTGTTTTAAGCCAGATAATAAACACTACATTGATTTTTTTCATTGAGTGTACATAATTTTGCAATCTCCTTGGCCTTATGCTATAACTGGAAGCTTCATGGAACTTCACGATCTTTTATATGTTCTGGCCAAAAGTAACTTAACATAGTTTAATATATAGAGAATTAAACTATTTTGAGTTTATCATTTAGTTCTAATTTGAACGTTGAACGTACAACATAACTTAGCTAATACGTACTTAACATAACGTAGCTAATAATTATTGTATGGAATATAGTGTTACTTACAAGATGGATTCTGATGAATTTTGGACGTTTGTCAACAATACATCGTTTTCGTCACAAACAACAGACGCTGAAAAATATCAACGCTTTCTACAACAGCGAAACCGAGTATGTAAGAAAGTAGATAATAGATCCGATCAATCCAACGAGGAAATTAACATTGATCCGATACCAAATTTGCAACTAACGAACCCTGATGCGGCGGAGCTAATGCCGACGCAGAAAGATAAACGAAAGGAACCACCGAAGACAAACACGGAAAGACAGCGCGAATACCGAGCACGCAAGAAATGGAAGATGGATAACCCTGATTCGGCGGACTTAACGACGACGCAGAAAGATGAGCGAAAGAAACCACCGAAAACAAGAGCGGAAATACAGCGCGAATACCGAGCGCGCAAAAAATTAGAGATATATAACCCTGATGCGGCGGACTCTATGACGATGCAGGTAGATGAGCGAAAGAAACTACCGAAAACAAGAGCGGCAATACAGCGCGAATACCGAGCGCGCAAAAAATTAGAGATATATAACCCTGATGCGGCGGAGCTAATGCCGACGCAGAAAGATAAACGAAAGGAACCACCGAAGACAAACACGGAAAGACAGCGCGAATACCGAGCACGCAAGATATTGAAGATTGATAACCCTGATGCGGCGGACTCTACGACGACGCAGATAGATGAGCGAAAGAAACCACCGAAAACAAGAGCGGAAATACAGCGCGAATACCGAGCGCGCAAAAAATTAGAGATATATAACCCTGATGCGGCGGACTCTACGACGATGCAGGTAGATGAGCGAAAGAAACTACCGAAAACAAACATGGAAAGACAGCGCGAATACCGAGCACGCAAGAAATTGAAGATGGATAACCCTGATTCGGCGGACTTAACGACGACAAAGAAAGATGAGCGAAAGAAACTACCGAAAACAAACATGGAAAGACAGCGCGAATACCGAGCACGCAAGAAATTGAAGATGGATAACCCTGATTCGGCGGACTTAACGACGACAAAGAAAGATGAGCGAAAGGAACCACCGAAGACAAACACGGAAAGACAGCGCGAATACCGAGCGTGCAAAAAATTGGAGATATATAACCCTGATGCGGCGGACCCCACGACGACGCAGCTAGATAAACGAAAGAAACCACCGAAAACAAGAGCGGAAATACAGCGCGAATACCGAGCGCGCAAAAAAATAGAGATATATAACTCTGATGCGGCGGATTCTACGACGATGCAGGTAGATGAGCGAAAGAAACTACCGAAAACAAACACGGAAAGACAGCGCGAATACCGAGCGCGCAAAAAATTGGAGATTGATAACCCTGATGCGGCAGACCCTACGACGCCGCAGATAGATGAGCGAAAGGAACCACCGAAAACAAGAGCGGAAATACAGCGTGAATACCGAGCACGCAAGATATTGAAGATTGATAACCCTGATGCGGCGGACCCTACGACGACGCAGATAGATGAGCGAAAGAAACCACCGAAAACAAGAGCGGAAATACAGCGCGAATACCGAGCACGCAAGATATTACAACCTGCCAAGAATGTCGCAGAAGAGATGGAAATTCGCGACGTAAACCATTCGTACGTTTCGCCACCTTGCTCTCCCGCCGACCTACAATTCGACAAGCGCTTCACGTCACAAAAGTGAGCATAGTTATAAATAATTTTCCCAAATTACTATTATTATAATAGACTATAACTCTTTTTTCACAGCTCGTTGACACACAACTCTGTCAAAGAGTCATTGCAAGTTTGGGACGTGAGATTGCGCTAACTGGTAAAATGATCAAGTGGCACCAAAGTCTACTCAGCGCACTCTTCAAGAATATAGATGAAGAGAAGAAAGTTCTACATATTTTAGAGAACAAGCAAAAGAATATGAACACCCTACAGCGTCCAACCAGATCCGACGTCTAGCTGTCTTGTTCGTATAAATTCGCAACGATATTACTGTATCGCGCATATTAATTTTATGTATTTTATGCAATATAAAAACTACTTTCTTTCGTCAATTGTACTTTTAAAATTTTTTTGGAAACTTTCGACTTGTGTGACTCGTTAACTAACCTAACCTATTTATCCTGAAATTTATTCGGACATGAAAATGTTCTATCGTGTTTGCAGACTCGGCTGAAAAATGGGCTTTTTCGGTTATTCGCCAGGGTTATGTACCAGAGCTAAGACATGAAAATGTCAATATTGTATGTTATTTATAATTAAAATAAAATAAATGGTTATTTTTTGGTATTGAAAAAAAGTATGCTGTGAAATTGGGTTGGTCTGATCTGGGGTTCTTAAAATGTTGTTAAAATATGACTATTTTTAATAACATAATTTAAGTACAGGATTAGTTGATCCGAGTTAGAAAATACAAGTAATAAATCTTAAATAAATATTTTAAGAATAGGACCGGTACTTGAATGGCATCTACGGTCTAAGGCTGAAACTATAGTATCTCAATAATCCTCTAAGTTCTCCCATTTCATTAAGTACACTGTCATTGGTACGGAACTCCATTAGCAACCTGCGCCAGCACCACATTTCGAAGCTTTCTAAATATCTTTCTTCTGCTATTTTTATCACCCAAGACTATTATTTGTATAGAGCCACGCTCCACACAAATACTTTTAACTAATCGTTTTCTCTTATGGATACTCATCTCTCTGGAGCATAGTAATTTCATGCAGTTCATAAATGCGGGTTTCGCCTGCGCTATCCTAGCTTTAATTTTCTTAGTGCTCTTGCACTTGGTGATTCAACTGCCTAGGTTTATTATATAGATGTTTACTTGTTCTGAATGGCTATTTCCCACTTGAATTTGGAGTCTGTGTCTTTGTTGTGTTTTCTGGCAACCTTAGTTTTTTACTAGTTTATCTCCACCCCTATTTTTGTCTATTGAGCTATTCCTTTATTTCTTGGATTGGTTGTTCGAAATATACATTAAACAACATTGGTGACATAGGACATACTCATCTAGTGCCTTTCCATGTTTTTGGTGTTGCTGATTGGTCTTCCATTCCTATTTCTGCAGTTAATATAATATAAAACCTGTATTATATATATAAGTTGCTCATACCGGTTATTTTGTTAATAATATTTTTTGTTCTCTTGTAGTAGAAAGTAAAAAATTCTATGTTAGCACTCATTGCTCGTTTGCTGGTATTTTTATAACATTTTTAGTTTTAATACGTATATTTATTTTACTTTTTAGTGTTGGAGAAACTTGCGTTGATACAAAAGTAAAAGTTGAAATTGAAGGAAACGGTGGTCTTTTGGATTCGCAAACAATAAACTACAAAAATACTTTTAGGTAAGGCTGAGTGTTCAATTTAATATATTAAATTATCAATAGTTTTGTCGTTTAACGAAAATACAATGTAAGCTATACTCGTATATGTACACACAATAATTAAAGAGTTTTCTTAGTAACCGATTTTCCAATTCAACGTACATAAATGTACATCAACATTCATTCAACAGACAATTAAAATTTACTAGCCTGTATTTTTTGTACATTTGATACATTTACAAAGATCAAATTAGAATTTATAATAATATTATACAATTGTGAAAAGGATATATTTTTTCAAAATTTTATAATTTATTGTTCGACAATGTTTTGTTGTAGTGACAATCGTACGAGAAATGAAGTGAATAAAAACACTGATGGTTGTTATTTCGAATCGAGGACTGAAACAGATAAAAACAAACAAACAGCAACAAAGTATAACAATGAAGATATAACAAAACAGCGGTTTTTCCAATGTAATTTATGTCTAAAAATTTATAACACAAAAAAACATATAACTTTACATTTATTAAAATCCCACCGAGGTTCAGCTGATGAACACTGTTCCCAAAAACTCAAAACTATACAGCGCAATAAGTTTACTAATACATACGCGAACATCAGCCGACCCTATAAATGTGACATCTGCCTTAAGCATTTTTCTAAATGTTCTGACCTCACACGACACGAACGAGTGCACACTGGGGAAAAACCCTACAAATGTAATGTGTGCTCGAAGACATTTTCTCTTAAATGCAGCCTCACAAAACACCAACGCGTGCACACCGGCGTAAAGCCCTTCAAGTGTAATGTGTGCTTAAAGACTTTTTCCGAAAAATACAGCCTCATAAAACACCAACGCTTGCACACCGGGGAAAAGCCCTACAAATGTAACGTGTGCCCAAAGACATTTACTGTTAAATCCAGCCTCACAAAACACCAACGAGTGCACACCGGCGTAAAGCCCTACAAATGTAACTTTTGTCCAGTAACTTTTTCTGATAAATCCAATCTCACAATACATGAACGCGTGCATACTGGAGTCAAACCTTTCAAATGTAATGCGTGCTCTAAGTCATTTGCTCGAAAACCCCACCTCACACAACACAAATGCCGTGCACCATTATTATAATGTCAGACAATGATTTATATATAACCTAAAAAATTTGTATTTAAATGTATAAGGACATGTTTTATTTATATTTTTATTGTATCTCGGACATCTTGTAATGTTTTTTTTAAATATTTTAACTTTTGTGTTTTTTCTAAATAATTGTTAATACATATTTTGTTACATCGTTGGTTAATTTTGTCAGTATTTATAATTAACATTGGTTGTAATTTTGTATACATTGGAAATATTTATGCACTATGATTTAAAATTAATATCTTACAACAATCTATTTCGTTGTTTTTTTTAATTTTTATGTAAAATAATATTAGATTTATATATTTTCTGTTTTTTTTAAGTAGGGATAGCAAAAAAAATAATTAAAAATTATAATTCCGTTATAACAATTTTCATGTTCCGCGTTTAAAGGAAATAAAACGTAGAAAATAATTATTTTTAATTTTTTCTGTGATTAATTGGTGAACGGTTATTGAACTAGGACATCATATTGTTACAGTGTCGTTTTTTGTGGTGCATAATCAGGATGAAAAATAAGACCCCTTTTCACCAGTTTAGTTTTTAATAAAATAATGTTATCTTGGAAATTTTATTGTCAACGTAGAAGTTAGGAAGTTTTGGCCGAAATATCATACAAAATCAAACGTTTAAAATATCATGTTTAATAAAACTGCGTTAGGCAATTTACATATTATTATGTATTATGGACATAATATTATGACCATCCTGTGTAGTAAAAATGTTGTCTGGCTTTTTGGTCTAAAATAATCCAAAATGACTTTTACTCGTAGCAAAAATTATTAAAATTGGAATCTTATACAAACTAACCGGTAAAATAAATGACAATGATTTTTTTTCTTGAATATTACCTACACAAAACTCCTTAAGACCAGACAGCATGCGATCCCCTCAAGACAGGCGATAACACTTTTTGTTTGGCCTACAATATCGAGCAAGAGGAATAATAGGTAGATGTGTAATATGCAATAATTATTTTTGCTGCCGATTCCTTGCACTAACCTAAGTTGATGTATAATTTTTAACCGTATGTACACACACCGCGGTGTGTCGGATAACCGTGGACAAACACAATTGCCAAAATATAGTTTTTTTTAACTGCTGTTCAAATACCTACTTCTGCTGAAATTGACGCGTTTTGAACATTCAAAACCATTGTTTTTTTTTGTTTTTTTTTCACCGACGTCCAAAGAGCGGTATTTCATATTTGTCCGTAGTCTATCGGCTGCTTGAATTGATAATAATTTCGCAATTGAATAGTATATTATGGAAAGTATGTTGGTTTACCTTCGAAGAAATGTGTCCACGCGACGGGCGCGGGGTATAGGCAATTTTGTGTACACAACTAGCTGGTGTATTAGTCGTTCTGCGTCGCACAGTGGTCTAAAATCCAAAAAACGCCACCGAAAAATAATATCTTCTTAATTTATGATTAAAAAAGGTTTGGTTGTATGTTTAAAAATCGCTTATAATAATAATTATACTGCACTCCACCATTAATTGATAGGCGGTGACGCCGACTAAAGTCTAGTAGGAGAGGCAAAAAAATATTATGGACACCCACCCCAGGTTAGGATAGGTTACAATAGCATCGTCTATTTTGAAATTTTTAATTTGGCGGTAGCAATTATGTAATGTTAATAGCTACTTAATTCCGATAAAGTAGCCGCAAAGGATCCTTCATTATCCATTTAAATAACGCACAAGATATAATATGTTTTTATTTTAACTGTGCTTGACTCTGTACACTTTTAGGGCACGCGTTTCTTACTACTGGCGTTTGAAAGCTTATGTAAAATCCCTTCAAGATTGACCATAGCTACAGTTTTGATTTCTATTATATAAAAAAATAAAATGGTTTTCTTCAGTATTTCAAAGATTGTTTCTAGAATGGAGCAATAACGTCATATATAATTTGGTTAAAAATCTGTGGTGAATTTTTTAAGGAAAGACCAAACATGGGGAATTAACACTTTGTAAGTTTGTAGGTTGGAATGAGTAAAATGTCGTATACATGAATAACAACGTCTACAAATTATTGGAGAAAAACGGTTCAACCTTAAACGTAACCACCCTGATTGTAAAAATACAATATTAAGTACATCAAACACTGTTGTCACTGCAATCCTATTATAGATAGTTGTATTTCTACAGATTCGCATCGAAACGTTTATTTGAAAGTGATTTTAACACATTCAGACATCTAGGTCTAACTCAAGTCCCAATCCCATTGTACTGGCTTTTTGCTTTATGAATATCCGTCGTAGCCATACACGTAGCCATTGTATGTAATCGTTTGCGCAAGGTATTTTTTTTTTTATTCAAATTTACTAATTGTTTACGGACTACTTATGGCAGTAGTTGTTAAATAATAATAAAATATTATCTATGTACGCACATGTTATGTAAATGTTATACCTACCAGATAGTAGACTCAATAGTTGGGTAAATACCTGAATATTAGATTCGATAAAATTTTCGACTTTTGATCATACATGTTATAACCTTGGAATTTTTCATATAACTAAAAAGTTTTCAAACAAAAATTAGATTCTAACAATGACACTTTTTAATATCATTTTGTCGTTAGATCAACGTACTTTATTGATTAAAATGTAATACTTGATTTAAGTTTGGCGACATTGATGTACATCATAGAAAGTATTTTGGGCACTCAAATGGGTTAACCGTTTTTATTTAAGCAGCGTTTACTTTGGCGGTCTAAAGTTGAAAAACTCAACTCCTTCTTTCACAAACATTGGTACTCTAACAAAGTTTAGCAAAATATATATTGAGTAATAAAAAAGTTGGCATGACATGGTGTAACAATATAACCAATCGCTGTTTTGGGGATAGTAATGCGTATGAGGTTGACTTAAAATCAATGCCAAACGCTTTGAATAATGCGATTTTATTGATACAAATATCTAGTTCTTAAGAAGCCATCAAAAATAGGGCAAGTCGGGTTAGATTTGCTTTCATGGTTTGAAAGTTTTAAGGATATGAACTCTACAAGACATCATTTTATTTGCGTCAACGCACTTTTATCAGAAAACGACTATATAAGTAATTGTAGCAAAACATTAAATAAAATCCCATAAGTTGCAGAGTTAATATATTGTACAATAATTTCTGTAATTTTTACATTAGATTGTTTATTCGTTTATTAACTATTGAGACATGTCAATGTATATTTATGATAGCAGATCCTAGATTCTTCGTGTTGGTTTATGTAGTCTGGAAAAAGTACAAAAATTGTTAAAAATGGATATAAGTTTGGTTTTTGGTTGTTCCTGGTAAAAACCGAATGTATATTTTACTAGCAACCTTTCTAATCATTTTCGCATTAAGGCAGAACTTGGTAACTTTTCTTTCTCATTCTGTGTTAAGGAAGTAAACAATTTCAACATGTTTTTACTAAGCAAGTTTATGGACAGTAAGATTTAACAAAACCTTATACATTTAGGAAGCCAGTAAAGATAGATTAGGTTAAGTTATTTAAAATGTTTGAAGACTCATTCTTTGTTAATAGACGTGCTTGCTATGCTACATTCCTACTTAATATCAATACATTATACTTACATTACTGCTGTTTTCAAGATAATCACTGAACGATTTATCTTAATCGCGAAACAATATCATACCTATTTTTACATCACTTTGCCGCTCATAATAGGTGGTTTCTACAAGTTTCATTTTAATTTCGGACGTGCTTAAATATAATAATAATACATTTTAAGGTCTCTTAAAAAATTTATAGTTTTGTAGTTTTCCATTTAAAAAAATTGTTTATTTATTATATTTTACAACATTGTTAAATTTAATTATATTCCAACACTTAGAAATTATATTATTATCAGAAAAAAAATGCTTATTTAACCCTATTTAAAAAGATGGATTGCACAGGAGAAGAACAAATTTGGAGGTGCAGCAAATATATAAAAAATCTATTATAGATGCACACCTTATGAGTAATGAGTAAAGCCACGTAGGCCGAGTATGGAAGTCAGTGGGTATATCAAGAGTCATTCTAATTGAGTCATGGTACCAAAATAAATGAAGAAACAATAACAATAACAACAAAAGCGATTTAAACAATTGCAATCAATGTACCCAAATCCAATTATCTCGTTTACGACCTTCTAGTCTATATTCTTTCGCTATACTGTCTAATTCCTATTTTTTTCCAATCCACCGTTCGATAAGTATCTCGTCTACATCATTCTACTTCCTGGGACGTCCAATAAAATCTGCATTTATTTAATAGGATGTATTAATATTTTATATCTTACCGTCCAGAGCGGCTATGGCCATAAATGTCCGTTGGCTTGTTAGTATTTTTAAAATCCGTTTTGAAACCAGAAATCTCGAATTCCAAATTCTCTACGAAGCAACCCGAAGCCGCTATTTCGGCATATGCTGGCTGTTTTCCCGGAATCGGTTTTGAAAAATCTCTGTACAACTCCGAATTAGAGTCTCTGGCCTCCAGGTACGGCACTGGTACAGTAACTTCTCGACTAAATAAAAAAAAACAAAGTACAAATAACAACTATTTAGTTCATGGGGTGAATAGTTGGGAAAGTAAAAAAAATTAACAATAATTAAAGAATGAAATATTAATAATAATCAAAGACAGCGAGTGGTCATCGGTAAAGTTTTGGTATACGGCAACGATGCGGTCGTTGCACTCTCACACCCGGTGAGTCCAGCGAGACATAATGCACAAAGTATTTTGTATTTTAAGATTGAAATACAAAATACAAAGTACATGTAACTTAATGATTAATATATAATATAAAGACACACGTAACTTAAAAGACAAAAAACAAATTGAAATACGTATTTTTAATACTTGTAGTTTGTATGCTGCCCATCCTTGCTAGCCTCTCTGGCCTTCATTGCATCAAAATGCGTCAGAAGCCCCACGAAATCTCCGTGGACGTCCGTTTTTAGGGATTCGAAGTTCTTAACAAAACTGATGTCGTGTGGTACGCACTTGTCTTCGATGACACTGTCGAACAATTGAATCGCCTCATTGAGAACGCAGACAAGTTCGTTAAGGGCGTCAAAAAACGGTAGGTTATATTCGTTGGTAAACCTCGTTTTTATCACTTCAGTATAGGTTTTGTACTTGATATTTAAACCGAGCTTCTTCTCGATGAGTCCTGCCCATAAAATGTGGAGTTCCCTCTTTGGCGTACTATGGAATCGGTGGAATGCGAATATTTTTTCAACGCCTATTCCTAATTTAATGTCAAAGTCTAATATATTTTTGTCCCACTGTATCGAATGATACATTTCTTGAAATAGTTCATTTTCATACATTGATCGAATATCGAAATTCGAAGAATTTAGTTTCGCATGATTTATGGCCCAGTTGATGTTGGTTTTGTGCTCCCACAAATCCTGAAATATTAAGTAAGCGGTTATGCTTGCGTACCTCGCTAACGTGCATTGATAAGCTATTTTGATTGTACTGCGAATCGATTCCACTTCCGTCACAGTGCTTTTGTCAGCATTTCGCTTAAAATTGTCCACAGCCGCTTTAACGTTAACAGGGGTTTTAGTACCATTGACATGTTTGTAAATTATGTGTTGGTTCATAGCTGCGTTCCATTCGTCGACTTTGATCGTGCCGTTCAAAATTTGTTTTAGTTCATTCAAATTTAAATTGTCAAACTTAGACGATATGCAATAAACGCCTGAAAGACACAATAGAATCACACTAAAATGACTTAACATACTGCTATTGCTTAAGCGACGTTATATTTTTTCTACGGCTTAAGATACACTAAAACATTTTTGTCTTCAGAATATCCTTGAGGATTCAGTGTTAGCACAGTTGTTGGTTTATGTTTATTAATTGTTTGCCTATGTTTGTATTAATTTTGAAGAATTGAAAATCACAGTTATATTGTGTTTACCTTAAGTCTGTACTTTTTATTTGATACATATTTTCATAGCCGATCAAACTTCAAAGTGATTCAAGTCAACAAAAGTCAACATTGGTAAAACTATAAAATATTGTTTTTGTAAAAACACATTAACAATATTTAAATACTATTATAAAAATAGGTATTCGCTAAAATGTATGTTAATGTGGAGTACTACCGCGCAAACGAATAGTTGGTACATTCAAAATAAACAAACAACGCAGTTTCACCACGAGCCGTTTGTTTAGCATCGAAGCCTGTGTTTCTGATGAAATCACATTCAGATTTAAAAACTTATGTGACCCAAATTCTTCTATTCTGATTTATGTTGTACTTAATTTGACTGTGCTAGCTTACATTGTACTTGCTTAGACTGTACTTGGTTTAAGCTGTGTTCAATTTTTTTTAACTGTATCCCTGTAGTCTTGTATTATTATCAAATGACAATTCTACTAAAGTTTGGACTAAATTGAAATTTTGATTGAAAAAAGTTATAGAATTAAAGAATATGTAAATTGTTAAGGCATTTTGGACCGGAGGGTTTGAACATATTTAATTTTTGGTGTTATAAAGTACATATCAAGAAGTACGATTTCTGATCTATGGATCTGCGTCTTTGTAATACCATTGCACTCAAAGCTCCGCACCAAAGCTAACAGTTTGAAATGGCTGAACACATTTATTTGTTTTTGAACTTATGCACTGGTTCATTTTTTTTTAAATATTTGGGTTTTTTAATGTACATTTATTGATCAATGCAATTAATGAGATATTAAGTAGTTAAAATACCTCAGGTCAATAAATCAAACGTAAGTTTTGTGTTTTTATATTAACACAATGACTTTAATACTTGCTATGAGCTTGGTAAACGTTATTAGGCCAGAGGTTAAAGTGGGGGGGGGGGTGCAGGGGGACTCAGTCCTTCTACCTCTAATGGTGGTTAAAAAGCGTCCCCGTTAACAAATTATTCGTAAGGTACACCGTACCGCTCCAATTATAACCAAACATTAGTCAATATAATTCAGAATTCCGTTGAGATTAAATCTTGGTTTTTATTTTTTTATCAATTGTTACTTTACTTTTATCAAATGTATTTAATACAAATTATGGACTATCTAATATCATAGGCGCAAATACAGGGGAGCTAGGGTGGGCTTAGCCCCCCCAATGCTAGACATAGCCCCACCAAAATAATTAGGTTATGCGTACAATTTTAGTGTACAAAAATACATTTACTTATATATATATATATTTTAAAAAAATGTCCAGCCCCCCCCCCCGAGTTAAAAATTGAAATTACGCCTATGTCTAATATATGTGTACAAATAATTGATTTTATTAGTTATTGTAAATGGCTATACTGTGATAAATAGGTATTCGATTAGCCCATAAGTGATAACATATATTAATATATAGGTAAAGTGTGAATGTGTGATTTTTTAAGCATGCTCACCCTACCATGCGTAGAATTTACATTTTTTCTTGTACAATTTAAAGCACTAAAAACACTACATTTTTATGATGTATATAATTTTTGTCTGGGTGATTTTTTTAGTTTTCTTAAAAAACAACCACTACTTACAACTTAATATTATAAGAAAAAATATTCTCTTTCAAAATGTTAAATTTGTATAAAACACGAGTTACTCTTAAAAATGTTGTATTATTTGTGGTTTAAATTTTTTATGAAATAAATTACAATTTTGAACATTATTCAAGGATAAAAGTGGGATGAGTATGTTACACAATCACTGTTTCTATATTACATATACTATATGCATTAGACATTATACATAAAATTATATATGGAACGCTTAAAACTATATGGAGACATTAGTCTCCTCTTTAATTTTTTCCCACTTTAAGCCCTGTATTAGGCTAACGAGAAAATCAACAACATGCAACATCGGAGTCTATTGTAAATTATTAGCGAAACGACGGAGTCTGTTAACGACATCTGTATCGCACGTGCGTATCAGTAGGATACCGTTTAATGTTCTAATATATTTATTATTCTATTATTTGCCTTGTTTAAAGTCGTACTCATTGAGATGTATGTATGTAAATATTTTTAAAATGCCTGAACCACGCCATTTACAAGCTAACCATACTCGATCAGCCAAAATCCCAAAATCAACACAAAATAAGAAGATCAAATGGTAGATCAGAATTAGGTTTAGCGACATTGATGTAAATCATAAAAGTTATTTTGGTCACTCAAATGAGATTTCTTTGAGCAGAGCTTCAATCCATTACCTCGGTGGTCTAAAGTTGAAAAACACAACTGCTTCCTTCACAAACATACCCTAACAAAGTTTAGCAAAATATTTATTGAGTAATAAAAGAGTTGGCATGACATGGTGTAACAATATAACCAATTGCTGTTTTGGGGATAGTAATGCATTTTAAAACGTCTTAAAATCAACGCTAAACGCTTTGAATAATTCGATTTTAATGATAAATATATCTAGTTCTTATGAAGCTAATAAAAATAGGGAAGGAAGTGTCTTCTAGGAGGGTCTAAAAACACATACAAAAAGTGATAAAAATGGATATGAGTTTGGTTTTTGGTTTTTCCTGGTAAAAACCAAATGTTTATTTTGTTAGTGACCGTTCTTATTATTTTTACATTATGACAGAATTTTTCTGTTCAGTTATTCTTTCTTTTTCAAAAACACCTTCTTTTTTTGTCCGGCCTATCCATTTACATCAAGCTTATTGTGGGTCATCGGTGAACATATACAGGTTGGTTCGTTAAGGATAAGATGCTCGTTTTTCTTAAAATAGTTACTTAAAGAGTGGAGTGCAGTATTTTTTGTACATGTGAGCATTACTTTACCGCACTCCATCCCCGTCCTAAATTGTAATTTTAATAACTTGTGATTATTCAAAAGTGGCTAACCATCAGTCAAAATGTTTAGCCAATCATTCTTAATTAAAAAAAAAATAGTAAATATGTATGTTCTCACTTCATATTCAAAAGTTGATAGTTCTTTGAAAACACACAAAAAAAAAAAAGATAAAAATGTCAATGTATTGTCTGATATTGTGAAATAGCATAAAACTTAAATGTCCCCAACAAAAAAGAAAAATTACAAAATTGAAATTATTTCAATAGAAAACGAGTGTCTTATCCTTGACATAATCACCCTGTGTAAGAAACCTGCTCAAATTCAATAATAAGTTATTATACTATGTATTTTTATTTACAAAGTAATAGTAAAATGTGTTCCATAAAACGAGTATTATGTGATATAATCTGAAAGAGTGAACACGAAAATAAAGAAATGCATAAAGTATTTAAAACGTCATCGCGATAGTTCTGAAGTATAAATTGTATACTTATTAGTTATTACAGCTAATGTTGTTGTTGAGTATTTTAATTTGATTTTTATTAGGAAATGTTTATAACTAGGGTTTTAAGTTTGGTAATTATTATTATTTTAACATTTGGCAAGTACTAAGTAGACCAATCTGTCATTTGCTTGACCAATGGCTTGGTGTTTTTGGAAAACGATTCTAAAATTTGAACTATCAGATGCCTTAATTGCTTGCTATGGGCATGGCAGAGTTTAAAATTAACATGTTTTTATTTGAATAATTCCTACCTAACGACCAATAATAATTGATACAAGTGAGACTCCCCAATCTGGCGCTGAATGAAACTTAAATAACAAAGTATTACAATATGATGGATTTTTCTTATGTAGACTCCTTTAATTACCGAGCTAAAGGAATGGGTTCAGTCACAAGCATAGATTTTAATTGTGTCTATTTCATTAACCGTGAAACTTTCTTAGCTAAAATAGTGGTTAAAAAAACCAACCAACGACTACCGTGTGTTTATAGTTTGTTTTTCTAAAGTATTTGAATACATAAATTATAAACGTTTTGGTTTATTTTTCATAGCTGATATTAATATTATTCGGGTTCAAATATCGAACATTTTATTTTAGTTGGCACTTGGCAACAGGTTTTTTTATTTTTTGTGTTTTTCGACGCAATATCACTCCAAAAACGAGTAAGTATATTTTTTTGTACTAGTACGCGAAAAACTGTTTTCTTTTAAAACGTATTCGGTTTTGGTTGTTTGTGTTTTTATATGTTTGACCTATTTTCTTGTTCGGCAGTACTGTGTATTTACACAAGTCATAGCGAATATCCATTTTGCACTTTTGTTTTTTACCACCGTTGAAGTATTTAGAATGATTTTATCTGTTCACATACACCCACCACCCCCAACCAAGACGTACAGGGTAACTACATAGCAGTTAGCGTTTTACATGCATAAGTATAAGCGTACAGCTAGCATTTTTAGTTTTAGCTAAAATCCCTGTTGGTTGTACAGAAGCCAACGATATTATAATGTAGGTATTATTTTTTTACACATTGTATTATTTTTTACAGTATTTTTCACAGTGAATGTCGCGTTGCAAACAAAATATTACGAAAAACACCAGTTGGTTACACACGACCTTTTAAGTTATGATTTTACAAAAACAAAATTTTATAGTTTGCCTACGTTATATTATTTGCATGATTTAAATTCGGAGGATCGTTTGCTTCGCTTGTAAAATATTTTTTTTTTTTTTGGTATAGCTGAAGAATGTTCTAACGGGGATGAGAAATCCACGCGGATCAGGAAAAGATACAGTTGAGCTAGCAATGGAATCAACTTG